TCAAACAATGGTGTTCTCAACATGTAAAATCCATTTCACAGTCAAGGTGATAGTTTGCAATAGATTGTAAATTTTATGGAGATGATAATCCTGCGATTGAATTTCAAAATGTATGATATGATCATCAGCAAATAAGTCCATGGGGGATGCTAAAATCCTCTGAATATCATTTATAAAGATCAAAAAACACTGGAAACCCTCCCATTTATATCCTGCGGAAAGAGGTCTGACCAGCAGGATCAGGTCAGTTATTTTTATGGATGGCAATCGCAAAGCAAAGTTGAGATAAGGTTTCATAACAGATCCTTTTTTCCATTGAAAGATGCCCATAGTCAGGTTTCACTAAGGATTTTTACTAAGGGCCCGTTTGGGAAAACAATCGAGAAAAGAACATCCCTATTTATCACAGTGGTTCAATAACCTACGAAGGAATATTCATTCCCACGTTAACAAGCCTCCTTCTCCCACCCGTGACGGACTTCAGAGACAGAGACATTTACGGACATGACTGCAAATTTGCTGCAACACTTGTTTTGAAAGCACCGATTGGTTCCAACATGACTGATGGAACAGGAAGCCATTTGGTTTGGTTAAGTGTGAGGTAGGAGGGGAGAGGCCCTGGGTGGAACAGGTCGTTGGAACCATGTGAGAACACACACAATCCACCGGCCTCAAGCATTCACCTGTGTCCCCAGGCTAGCTTGTGTGTGCCTCAGTCATAGTCACCTTATCTGGTGCTTCAACTGCCCACGAATTCCTTAAACACTTCCTACCACCACTTCCCAATAGCTCCTAGGAGACAACCCTTCTGATCCATACTACAGGTCTTATTCCGGGTCAGGCATCAGAGGTATAGTTGTATTGATGGACTCTTTAACCATAGAGCATGTGTATAACTCTTTTTATTAGGTATGAGTTACGCACTATACTCTTAACCAGGAGGTGAGCAGTTCAAAACCACCAGCAGCTCCATGGGAGAAATATGAGGCGTTCTACTCCCATAAAGAGCTCCAGTCTCAGAAACCCACAGGAGCAGTTCTACCCTGACCTGTAGAGTTGCTGTGAGTCAGAATCAAGTTAATGGCAGTGGTTTGGGTCTTTTTATTGTTTTATCCTTATTTACCACCACCTATCCATCCGTTTGAAGCTGGAAGTGATGTCACCGTTATTTCCAATACCAGCTGAGTCACTGAGGGTGGCCGGGTTTCTATGGAGCTTCCAAAGGCAGACTAGCAAGTAAAACATGACAATTCATTCCCCCAAATCAGTCAGTCAGGACCCTAGGGAGCATCACAGAGTAGTGGCCATGGCTCATCCTGCCAGGCTGGATGATATTCAAAATACATAGTGGTTACAACCGTGAACTCCTGCCTAGCCACAATTGTGAAAGGGTGCAGGACTGGGCCGTGCCTTCTTCCGCGGTTCAACGATCATGAGGATTCAGCACTGACTACACAACACATATCAAAACAACACCTTGATGGGTCACTGATGTCAGTTTTGAGGTCTGCCACATAAGCTCTGGTTTTTTTATTGAACAATTTCCTTAGGTAGTGTTAGGTGTCCTTAAGTCAACGATAACTAATCTCCACCCACTATACAACCGAGCAGCACACTGCCCAATCCGACACCATCCTCACAGCCCAGGCTGTGGCTGAGTTTGCTTTAGTCACTGTGTAAATCACCTCATTGAGGGTCTTCCTCTGTTTCCATTGACCACCTACGTTACCAAGCATGGCAGCTTGCTTCGGGAACTGGTTCCTCCTGAAAACTTGTGCAAAGAATGGGAGATCATCCTTGCTGCGCAAGAAGCATGCTGAGGGTCTTCTTTCAAAGCAGATTTCTTTGTTCTCTTCAGTGTCTCTGGCATATTCCACATTCTTCACTACCACCATATCAAAGACAGAAATTCATCATTTTTCAGTATTCAGCTTTCGCATGCACATGAGGTGATTGAACATACCATGGCACGGTGGAGGACCACTTCTCATATTAACTGCTGTGCTCGCCAGCCCTTTAAAGAGGTCATTGGTAGCACATTTGCCCAATGCAAGACTTTGAACTCTTGACGGATATTTCCAGGGCATCGATGGTAGGCCCAAGTAAAATGAAATCTTTGACAACTTCAACCTTTTCTCCCTTTATCATGATGTTGCTTACTGGTCTGTGATGTCGCTTATTGTGAGAACGTTTGTTTTATATTGAAGTGTAACCCACCCCAGAGGCTGTCTTCTTTGTTCATCGGAGAACTTCTAGTTCTCTTGATTTTCAGCAAGCACGGCTACGTGATCTGCGCATGGAAGGTAGTTAGTGAGCCTGCCCCCTACCCTGAAGCTGTATTCTTCTTCGTAGAGTGGAGTTTCTCCGCTTATTTGCTCAGCATACGGACTGAATAAGTCTGCTGAGAGGGTCCAACCCTGATGCACGCCTTTCATGATTTTAAACCAGGCAGCATCCCCTTGTTCTGTTCACACAGCTGCTTCTTGGTCCATGTACAGGTTCTGGAATGCCCATTCTTCTCAAGGAGATCCAGTTTGTTACAATCCACACAGTCAAATGCCTGGGCATAGTCAATACAACACAAGGAAGCTTCTTTCCATATTCTCTGCTGTCAGCCAACATCCACATGACATTAGCCATGACATCCCCTTGTTCCACAACCTCGTCTGAGTCCAGCCTGAACTTCCGGCAGCTCCTTGTCAGTGGACTGCGGCAACTGTTGTTGGATGAACTTCAGCAATATTTTACTTGCATGTGATATCGATGCTACTGTTCCATTTTTCGAGCATTCTTTGGGGCCACTTTTCTTTGGAATGGGTACAAGTCTGTGTCTCTTCCCACTTGGGAGGCCAGGTAGCTGTCTTGCCAATTTCTTCACATAAGCCAGCACATATTTTCACCATTGCATTTCCTTGTTGAAACATGTCAACTGGTATTCCATTCCTGGGGCCTTATTTTTCCCAGCATCTTCAGTGCAACTAAAAACCATAAATGTTTTTTCATTTGTAATTGCTGTAGTTAAAAACAGCAACAACCACAACACCTGCACACATATACATGGTCTCAAGAAGATACACATGAGAGACGGGTCCAAAAAAATCTCTACTGATTATGGCCAATTCCTTCCATGCACAGCAAAACTAGCCTTGTAAATGCTGCCATAAGTCATCGAGGGGAAACAGTGGAAAGAAGAATCTGATGACAGGGAACCCGGGCACTTGAATTATGATCTGATGCTGTTTGCACACATGCATTAACTCAACACAGAGAGCCTATGGACATCTTGTTTGGGTTTCCTAAGAACCTAGGGAGACCCGACACTCCACCACAAGTGTTCTATGCCTTCTTCCTCTCCCCTACCTGTTTGTAACTGCTCAGTCTTAAGCATTGCACTACAGCATACAAGTTTCCAGTTTCCATGGAAGGTTTCTCAGTATACCTGCCTTTGGGAATAGACAAGGAAGCAGCCACATAAAATGATCCTTGGTATTCCCTACTCTTAGCTTCATGTCCCCAAATTAAAAAAAAAAAAGTCACATTCTCAGGGCTTTAAGGAATTCATGGTAAAGAAGACCATCAGGTTCAAAATTGGACATGCATGTTCACGGAGGTAGCTGCGTGGAGACAGGGAAACATTTCAAGAAAGCTTAAAATAAAAACCACAGCAACCAAAACCACCACAGTATGACCAGCTGCCAGATGCCTTATGGGTAACTTGGTACGGCGGTGAGATTGTCAGGGATGCCTGTGTTGCACTGCAGACAATGGACTGTATTTCCCCTTGCTTCTTGTTCCATAGAGGCCACTCTACAGGGATGGATACTTCTCCTCCCCACCCAAAAGCCATCAGGGACTCCTTTTCTGGAGAAGCCAGTGCCCATACTGCCTACCTCCCTGAGCCTGCCACTGATACTGCAGCCCCCGCCCTCAGCCAGCTCTGCACACCCAGCCCATGGCACTTCACTTGGCTTGCATTGACTCCTCCCAGGGCGGCTCAAAGTCAAAGCCCAACATTATCAGACAACCTGAGAGCAAACCCTGCCCCTGTCCAGTTCTATGATTTGGCACCTGCAATTTAAAGCCACTTACCTCCTACTCCTTTGTGTACACATGAGATAAGAGCACTTATATCTGTTGATTATTCAGATGAGGAAATAAGAAAATGAAAACAATGTCATTTGTGCAAAATAAATCCAAGTTCTCTTTGCTTCTAAAGTTGAACGTGGAGCCAGAAACATCTCCGGGAGGCAGTTAGAAACACAAGTGCAGCCAACAGCCCCTTATTAGAAAGAGGGGACAAGCCAGGAACTCTCAGGGATGCAAACAGCCCTGGGAAACACAGCCCAGCCAGCAGGCTCTGTCTGAATGTGCTCCAGGAACCTCTGAGCAATGGTGGGAGCCAGCCGCCTTCAGGGTACACCGAGCCAGGAGGACTTCGAGATATAATGAAATACAAAGGACCTCTGAGACACAGCCCCAACTAGCAGCCCGGAGCCTTTGGGGACATACAGAGCCAGAAAGCTCTTCTGCCGAAAGGCAGTTCCAGAATCCATCAAGAGACAATTCAGACCCGGGAGGCATTCATAAGAGAGCTGGTACGAGGAGCCCCTCAAAAACAAAATTAACATAGGGAACCTTTGTGAACACAGCCAGACCCCAATGTTTTTTAGGTTAGCAGGTGCACGTTGGGGAGCTGCAGGGACCCAGTAGGAATAAGAAACTTCTGGGGCACAAAGCCAGAACCAGAAATCCTCAGGGACCTGGTCTAAGTCAGGAGACCTTCAGGAGCCATCCACGCATACATTCAAAACCAGGGGCCTTCAGGGTATACAGTTAGAGGCAGGAGCCCTCAGAGCCATTGTCCACACTAGGAAGCCTCCCACGTACACATGGCCCTAGGAACTCAGAGATAAAAGCAGCATCCCACCAGAGGCACCATCAGAACTGGAACCCTTCCCATGGCACTGATAGGATCTAGAGACTTAGAATCACAGCCGGCACTAGAACACCCACTGAGACAAGTCCCAGACAATGAATGGTTTCCCTGTGGCAAGAAGCATATTGGCAAAGACAGTGTAGGAATGCTGGGGGCAGAGAGAGAGCCAAAAGGAAAGCCACTCAACAGCTGCTGTCCAGCATCTCAAAGCAGAATTCGAAAGGAGGCTCTTACCTGCACACTTGGTCCTGGTGGTGAGGGGAGGCCCAGGTGGTCCCGTGCCCCCCTCGCCAGGGCGTGTGAGCAGCACTCGGATCTCGTACTCCACGTCGGGGTCCAGATGCCACAGCTTATAGTTGGGGGAGTCAACGATGTGGGTCTCAGCCCAGGTGCCTGTGGTGGTGCGATACTCCACCTCCTTTAGGATGATGGGACCATCGCCGATAATGGAGTTGGCATTTGGCTTGATCCACAGGTAGGTGGCTCCCACAGCAAGCAATTCTGGGGGGGCGATGGGTGTAGGAGGCTCTGCAAGACAAGAAATCACCCAAGGATCATGAAAGACAAGTGGTTTAGAGGGTAGCAAGCAAGCATTCAAGGACAGAAGATGGCGTTAAAAAAGTACAGGAAATTCTACATGTGACTAGAGCCATGAAAAAGAGCCCAAATCCCTCCTCTTCACATCACTCATAAGTTTTCTTCAGGTCAGCAGTTTAAGTTTTCACAGCTGTTTGTAGGTAATAGCCCAAATGAGTATTTCTTCAATTATTTTATTCCTGACCCACCAGATCATTTTCATTTAAAGGAAAAGATAATTGTGAGGAAATTATTTTTCCAGAAACCTGCATAGCTCCCTGAGTTAATTATTCTGCTTTCTATTCTCCAGGGAGACATTGCTTTCACTGCAGTGGAGCTTGGATAGAAATCCAGGGGAGGACCCGGGGGGCTTATGAGCATTTCTAATGGAGGAACCCAAGGGTTGCCAGTGGAACTTCTCCCCTACTGGTGACAGGAACCCAAGTAGAAAACGGATGGTGGCAAGCCTCTTCCTCAACTTCAGAAAGCTCATTCTAGCAGGAAGTGTGTCCCTGGTCCCAGTGCCCAAGTGTGAATCAAGGGTTCAGGAAGATTCATGCAGAATCACCCTGCATGTGTTCTGAGTTGTCCTGCATCTTCAAACAAAGAGACAAGAACTTAAACCAGCATTTACGGGGGGCCTCTATCTGGCAACCCTTAAGGAGCCCTGGTGGCATCACAGTTGAGCGTTGAGCATTGAGCCGCTAACTGCGAGGATGGCCGTTTGAAAACACCTGCTGATCTGTGGGAGAAAGACGAGGCTGCCAGCTCCTGTGAACATTTGACGTCTCAGAAACCCAAAGGAAGAGTTCGACTTTGTCCTACAGGGTCATTATGAGTCAGAACCGACTCTATGGCAGTAGATTTATTTTCATGAACATCAACAGTTGTCTCATACTCCTTATTAACCAAAGGAGTGTTGGTGGTACAGTGGTGAAGTGCCCTTGGCTGTTAACCCAAAGGTATGAGGTTCAAACGCAGCAGGAGACAGACAGGAGAGTCCACTCCGGTGGAAACTGGAATCCTGGTGGGCAGTTCTACTCTGTCCTACGTAGAGTCAGTACGAGCTGGAATTAACTGAAGGGCAATGGATTGATTTATCAGAAAATCTCAGATGCATGATTTCATTAAGTGATTGCCAACAATCATATTATCTCCACTTGGATGTATTTAAAAAGAGAGAGAGAGAGAACCTGAGTGTCCAGGCCAAGAGATAGAAGTACTCATTTTTTAAAAAGCAATAACAATCAACCTGAGTATGTTAATTTGTAAAAAGGAAAAAGTCAGTGGACCAAGAACACAAGAAGGAAGAAACATATAACCCTTCCCACCACCTAATAGATCAACCATTTTCCCTTCTCCCTGGTGGCATGGTGGGTTACATGTGGAGCTGCTAACAGCAAGGTCAGCAGTTTGAACCCACTAGTGACTCTATGGGAGAAAAATGAAGCATTCTGCTCCCAGAAAGATTCACAGCATCAGAAACCCAAGGAGGCATTTCTGCTCGGTCCCGCAGGGTTAATATGAGTCAAGACTCAGTGGCAGTGAGAACGTTCTTTTCCAGGTTTTATTCATAAAATCATGCCGTTTTTGTGGCGTTACAACAACATAAAGGAGCCCTGGTTGGCGTAGTGGTTACACATTGGGCTGGCATCCACAAGGTCTGTAGTTCGAAACCACCAGCCGCTCTGCAGAAGAAAGATGGGGCTTTCTACACCAGTGAACAGCCCCTGTGACTTACAACGCCCAGGGGCAGTTATATCCTGTCCTGCCAGGTTACTGTAAGTCAGCATCAATTGTATGGCAGCACATCTGTTTGTTTGTTTGTTGGGGTTTACAACAACACATAGAACCAATGTACTTCTATTTTCTTTTTCCATGCTTTGAACTTTGCTAATAATCTACTGCGTGAGCTTCACCGTCACCATCTTTAATAGTCAGAAAACAGGTCATCAGACAATCATATTAGTTATTCCCCAATTGTTGGTCACAAACCTTATTCCAACTTCGGCTATTGGAAACAGTGCTACAATGAACGTCATTTGTACAGATGACTCAGTCCTTATTATCTCACATCTTATTAAAACCAATTACCAGGCATAAAATCATCTATCCAGTGGTATAATTATGTTTATGAACATATTAAGGACTCCTGAGGCAGCACCAGGAAGTGTGTTGAGCAGGTGGGTCCTTTGCAGCACGAGGTCGGCTTCTCAGAGAATGCCTGAGCTATACAAGTTGGAGCTTCCATGTGGAGCCCAGGTGAGGTCTTTGGGAAAGATGCGCAAGAGATTCATTCCTGTCTCCCTCCTAATTAATTACCTAGCAACAAAGATCCTATGAAAACAGAATAATTGCCACGAAACCGACATGGGCAATATTTTCTCGGTGTGACTCAAAGCAAATCTTAGGGGACAACTTCCGATTGCCTCTATTATAGCCGGCCATGTGGTCAGAGAAGGAAATTAACCAGATTAGTCAAGCAAGATGCTTCTCTTTACAAAGCCATGCAGGTTATTACTCAAGACCTTGTTATCACAAAGGTATTTGCAAATTGATTTTTGGATAATTTGTTCCAGGTAGAGAAGTTAAGTTGGCAGGCAGATAATTTCTGAGCTCATCCTTTGTGTATTTTAAATATATGTGCCCTTTGATCACCATTATCAACTCTCAGAGTTCCCATCAGTCTCCAGTGAGGCCCCAGGGGTGACATTCCGTAGCTCTGTGATGTTTCTGTCCAATCCCTTCATGTAATTATTCACAGACCAGCCCTGGACAGAATTAAGAGCAGCAACTTTCAATACAGTGGGGCCTGAGCAAGCGGCCCCATTAAGCTCTCTGCCATCAACTCTCTCACCATGGTTCTGGGCTTTCCTGTTTCAGGCATGTGACATTCTCAACTGCCGACTTCCAGAAGAAATTACAGTATTAACTTTGCCAAGGGTGTAGTCTCTTTTAATGTCTAGGTGGAAGTGTAGTAACAGATATCCCCCTGGAGCATATAAATGCCCCCATCTCAAATGACTAACAAAGTTCACATAAGGGAGCTTCAAAAAGGCCCTGGGGAAACAAATCCAGTCTTTTTTAACACCATTCTTCCACGCATGCTTTGTAGCCCTCTTGTATACCTGTGAGGGTGAGTCGAAAAGGATTTACAACAAAATTGTAGAAACCTTTGGTTTCCACTCTTCGATTTTGCACCACGTGACCACATCAAAATGCCAGTTTGGGCATGCTCCACGGACTCAAACTGTGCCCCTTTAAAAAAGTATTAGCGTTTAGGAAACAAAACGGTGATAGGGTGAATGGATAAGGTTTCCCAATAAAATTCTCACCGAACAACCTGTGTTAGCCTTGAAGGATGAGAAGGTGCACTGCCATGGGGTGGAGGGTGGGAGATAGGGGGAGGGGAGGTATCCCTCATGCAAAGGTCCTGGCCTTTTCCTCAACAACGCAGGTTTCAATTAGCTTGCAACTTCCCCAGGACAGGCCCCTGAACTTCCTGTGTTCTTCACAGACACCTAACGAGATTGCTCATTTACCAACATACATAAATACATGAAAAAACATCTCACTGCCACTGGGTCCCTTTTTCATCAGAACCCCATAGGACAGAGTGGGACTGCACTCTGGGGTCAATCTCCCTGGGAGCAAAAAGTGTCATCAGCTGGTGGTTAAACTGCCGACTCTGCAGTTAGCAGTCCAATGTTGAACCCACGACATCACCAGGGCACCTACAGTACCCCTGTGGAATCTCAGAGAGCAGTCGCTGGAACTTTCTGAACCTTGAGTTTATCTTTGAGGTCTCTCCAAGCGTCCTCACGATGCTAGATCCATCTAGAATCTGCTGTTTGATATGCGGCAGAAATTCCATAAACTTGTTGAAAATGTTCAAGGATCTGGAAAAGATGTGCACTTCAGTTTTTAAAAGAATTTTAAATTAGCCGTCACCTCAAGATAATTGCGCCCCCCTCCCCCCCGTGCGCCTGGAACATAAAGTGTTTTCTTTTTTGAAGGTGCCTTGATAAGATGAAGACAGGTGTTCTTCGTGGGAGGACTTGTCTGCAGTCATCCACTGATCTCAGAAACATGTTCCAAGACCTTTTGTGTTGGAATAAACCCATGCCGGCATGAGCTGAAACCCTAGCAGCACTATTATTGGACACACCCTCCTATGTATGGGTATGAATACACACGCGGGTGGGAAGGGGAGGGAGTGCTTCCAAAAGTTCATAGAAAATAGTCCATTGTCTTTTAAGTCTAGTTTCTTACGAAGTTTAGAAGCCCGATAAGCCTTGCTTCTTTCTCTGAGTGCCCCCGCATAGCTGAGCCACATCCTTCAAGTAGACAGGGCGAGGAACGCATAGGGCCACCGAGCCCAACCATCAAGTCACCCGGAAGGAAAATAAGTTCCAGAAAGGACTCGTGACTGGACAACCTCCGGGGTGGGGGAGGACAGTGTTAGAGTTCAGGATTCAGAGGCCATCCACACGCCTCTCTTTCTCCTCTTGGACTTGAGATACCTAAGTCATTAACCAGAAGAATCAGTAAAAGATGTCGATACTGGTAGGACTTTTCAATTTTAAGGATACAGAGGCCCTTCTAAACATCTGGTGAGAAATCCCAGTCTCCCACCCATGGGAGTTGTTAAGCACAAGGTCAGAACTCTGAACTCACCAGTCTCTCTGAAGGAAAATGATAAATCTCTCTGCTCTTTATAAAGATTCACAGCCTCAGAAACCCTTGGAAACCCTAGTTGATAGCAACCCTAGAGTGTTGCTAGGCGCTAAAACTGACTCAATGCCAATGGGTTAATGTTCTCAAGAAAATACATGCAGCTGCATTGCCTAGACTTTTGGGAAGACTTCAGGGGTTCATAACCCTTCTGAAGCCCATGCATGGACCCCGTGAGGGTCTCAGCTACAGGGAACATAGAGGAGTGCAGAGATCCT